CTCTTCGATTCTGATCTTAAACTCAGCTTTTTCAGTATCATGCCTGGTATACTCCTCCTTAATCTACTTTAGAAGCTGAAATAGAAGATTTGGATGAATGTGTAGATATGGAAACGGTAGTCGACTTAATACAGAAATAGTTCTCTTGCTAATTGGTAAAAAAGGTAAGAATTTCTCCTATTCGTCTGAATCTTCTGAAGAATTTGATTCAGTTAAGATGATAAGAGAGCGAAAAGCTGTTTCTCATAAGCAACAAAGAAGGGCACAGCTGAGAAGAAGGTTTGCAGAACAATAATTATCAGCTCAGAAGAATTTTCTGAGCCACAGATTGTGCAAGAATAATCTTATTTTTTTCAATTAAAAAATTCTTTGAATTATATAGCATATATACAGCTAATTTACTTGATCAATTCACGCCAAAATTAATACCATTTATTCTAAAATATCTTTTAGACCAGGATTTAAAACATGCTAGCAGTATAAATGATATATGGGAAAGAGAGGTAAATCTTGAACGGTCCAGAATAGTTCTTACAGATTTTTGATTTAGAATTAATATAGGCGCTAATGCAAATTACATTAGTAAAAAAATTGTGAAAATAGCATATGTAAAAGACAATAGTAATCCTAGAGTAAATGGGTTTCTAGGTGAGTCTTATTCAACATTAGGAAGGGTTAATCTACATGTTATCTTAAATAATAGCAAGAAGCATAAAAGCATATCCGCTGAATTCATAGTTATTGGATCAGATTGGTCTGATCAATTTCCTGAAATACTCTTGGGCTCACCATAGATGCGAGAAAATAGTATAAGCTTAAATATGCGTAATTCAACACTAACAATAGGTACACTTAAGTGTAAAATCCTATATCAATTCAGCTGATAGTCAAATCTGAGCTATGTCTCAGTCCAACTAATAATCTGGAGCAGTTATCACTTTGCGCTATAGCTAACCTTATTTTTTGGATTGAAAGATATTCTAACCATATAAAAATGCATATAGTTAATTTGCTAGAACAATTTCCGTCAGAATTAATACCATTTATTCTAAAGGAACTTTCAAACTAGAATCTAAAAATTTTCGCAGTATAAATGATATATGGACAAAGGAGATAGATCTTGAATGGACCAAAAGAAAGACTTTTTTCAATTTTTGTATTCTATCATTAATTCAAAGTGAAAATACAGTTAAGGATTTTTATTTGAAGCTGAAAGAGTGTAACAAGAGTTTAGGCTATAATGAAAATTTTTTTAAATGCACATTATTAAAAGGATTATCATCTGAGAATACATTTAAAGTTCTTATGGATGGTTTACAAGCATTTGCATTAGATGAGATACTGAAAAGACTTATCCCAGAATAATAATCGCATGATTTTTCTAAAGGTATTTTGCTATTTTTTCGTTTAAAGATATAACATATAAACAGAATATTTATAACGCAATCAAGCATCTTTTATTTACCAGAACTATTAGAACAGATTTTACATTTTTTAACGATAAATAATCTCTCTACTCCGCTCTATTTGTTAACCGATTTTAGTAATTCCTAGCTTATAAAAATATATCGAACTAAAGGAGAATAACCTGAGATATGGGTACTATTCTCCAGATGGATATACTTATAGTGAAAGAAATCGTACTTAATGGGAAATATTTGTAAAAATAATGTGTGAAAAAAATAAGCCAGCTCATGTTTCGAATACAATCCATCTAGAAATTACTTATTACTATTCACTTTCAGATAAAAAAATAAAAAGTATTGCGGATACATTTCCGAATATAATTCATTTAGATTTTAAAAATAGTATAGGTTTTGGTGATAAAGCACTATTTATAATAGTGGAATCATATCTTAATTTAAGATATCACAATTTGTGGGATGCTCAAGCAATAACTGATAAAGACTTATATGCGATCATATAATCATGCCATAAATTAGAACATCTAAATATTTCTTACTGCAGAAATATTACTAATAAATCTTTATTTGAAATTGCAGAAAATTGCCATGATTTACAAGAGTTTCATTTTGCCAAAGCATGTTGGATCACAAATAAATCTATAAGTTGCATTTTAAACTCATGCTCAAATTTACAAAAACTTGATATTGCATATAGTAAGGGGGATGTCAAAGATACTAATACTTTAATGCAGAGATACTTCAATATAGAGTATCTCGATTTTTATGGTATCATGGCTTTGTGGGATGATAGATTAATTATAGCTATCATCAAAAGATCTCTGAATTTAAGACATATAGAGATTGGCTGTAATGATATCACTAATAAGGTTATTGAAGTGCTGGCTCATATTTGTTATAAATTAGAATATCTCGATCTGTATTACTGTAATTTTGTTAGTGAGCCATCAATTTGTAATATCATACGTTTCTGCCCAAAACTCTAATATCTTAACCTTAGTTATTGCAATATTACAAGTAAGATTATCAAAGAAATTGCTTGCTCATGTCTCAATTTAAAATCTCTAGATTTGAAAGGATATGAAAATATTAGTAAAAAAGTCATGGACCAGCTAAATCCTAATATTCATATTGAAAATTTTGATAAAGATTACTGCTGTTCTGATTCAGAATCTTTTAGCTCTGAAACTAAATTAGAGTCTGAATAATCTAGTTAGTCCAGAGCGATCGAGAGGTATTTTACATAATCATTAATTAGATTTTTTTGCATTACAAGCAGAATATGTAAAATTTTCTTGGCATTTTTTTGAGATCGCACAGTCCCAGAAATCTGGTGACTTTATAAATTTCTCTTAGTAAAATGTCAGTCTCTATGTATATATACTAACTAACTTTTGAATATTTCACTTCTTGTATAAAATTTATCAATCATATCATTCGAGCTTGAAGTATTGAAACAGCGTATCACTAAACTTGAGGTTAAGAATGCTGAAATACCTGATCTTAGAAGAAAGATCTCAGAGTTCGATGCTGAGAGAGTTGATCTTAGAAGAAAGCTCTTAGTGTCTGATGCTAAAATAGCTGAACTTAAGCGTAGGAATGCCGAAACTCTAAGAGCGAATAGAAAATATAATGAGAGGCGTGATACTGAGAATGTCAAACTCAAGGCCAGAATTGAAAAGCAACTTATTTCTTTTTTGTGGAAACAGGAATTAAGGCTTGACTTGGATAATGAAAATATTATTTGTAAGGAGAAGATTAATAGTCATTTATTCTTCAAGTTAACTGAAGAAAAGCTCATGCAAGATGGAATGAAAAGAGGACCTGCGTTAATTCTTGCGAACTTCGCTAAGAAATGTAAGGAGAAAAAGTTGAGGGCTTTTTCAACATACCGCAGTTTAAAAGAAGTATTAGCGAAATATAACATTAGTGGTAATGATATAGGCACTATTCGTCAATTTCCACCGGTGAGTTTTTTATTTCTGCAGTAGTTCAGTTCTTTATGATCAGTATAATTAACTCTTTATTTTTTTTCTAGGTGACCTATAAGCTTGAAGATGATGACAAGAAGTTACAACAATATATAAGGGAAATAAAACGCAAGTTAGAACTTTACTTGCTAATAGCAATGAAGCCATATACTGTGAATATATTTCAACTATCCTTCACACTTCGCTATATATCGTTAAAAGAATAATATCTGATAAAGAGCTTACCTTGGTTCTTCAGCTCGAAGTTGTTGGTAAAGAAAGTATTAGCCAGGTTGAATATACAATCAAGACCCTCAAGGAACTTATTTGTATAATGAAAGGGAAGTTGCATCAAGTAACCATGGGCTTTGTTCAAATCTGGTCCAATGTGAGAGCGTTTTACAAGTTAATAAAATGAATAGGAAATGTAAATCAGGCAAGGCGTTTGGGAAAAACTTTGACTATATATATGGCATCGTTACAACAGCCTCAGATTGGTATTTTATTCTTTTTGTCTCAGATGGGATATCAAGTATGAGTAAGGATCCCATCAATATTCAATTTTCAGAATCTGCTTTGAAGGAAGGATTGGAGGAAGAAAAAGATTTGCGTAAAAATGTGAAGCAGGTTATTGAGGTCATCATTGAATTGTTAAAGGATAGGCTAGAATACGTGGATGAAGAACCTGATAGGAAGAGGATTAGGATAAAGGGTTATCATTTGAAAAAATAATAGTGTATAGTAGCATAGAAAATTCATTATATATCACAGGCATACAGTCAACTCTTGATATAGCGAACTCTTGATATAATGAATTTTTTGAACAAATATAATAAAATACTTTTGTTATAGCGAATTGGCCAATCAAATCTCTTAAAATCTTCACTATAGCCTTATAGTGAAGTTGAGATTTAAGACATAGAGTTCGTTATAATAAGAGTTGACTGTAGTCCTGAACTGTATTTATTTTTGCATGTATTAATAAAACATCTTTACATTTGCTACAACATTGAATTATTCCTGTCATATATAAAATTATAATAAATTATGTCATCTGAGTATAAAATATTAAGACAGCACATCACTGAACTTGAGGACAAGAATGCTAAGATTAAGGCTGAGAAAGCTGATTAAGGATATGTATATTGAGCTTCTAAAGTAGATTAAGGAGGAGTATACCAGGCATGATACTGAAAAAGCTGAGTTTAAGATCAGAATCGAAGAG